GTTATATTGAATCATATTGCTTTTAAAATAAATGTTTGACAGATTAAAGTGATTCGATACTCTTTGGATTCGAAATTCGTTAAATTAGGAATGCTCTACAATTTTTTCAAACTTTATCTTGTGGAAGAATTTCTTGTAATTGCCTAAACAAACACATTGCTATTACGAATTCCAGAAAAGTAACGGCCACCGTACCGAGTTCGAGCGTGATTGCGGCTACAGTGCAACAGCCCGTATCGCCGCCGGTGGTTACCACGACTACGCAAGTGGTAGACCCGGACAATCCGGATTGGACGTACGATCCAAACGAGCCGCGCTATTGCATATGCAATCAAGTGTCGTACGGCGATATGGTTGCCTGTGACAATTCAGACGTAAGACCCGTCGACATCTTCCAGCAGGCGGATACATTACAAGCGGATAGACTTATAACGATTGCTTTTAGTGCCCCTTCGAATGGTTCCATTATCCGTGCGTGGGCATCACCGCGCCTCCCAAGGGGAAGTGGTACTGCCCTCAGTGTACGTCCTCGATGAAGAGACGTGGCGGACGGAAGAACTGATTAGGTGAGGAGGAGGAGAAGAAGAGGAGGAAGCTGAGAAACTATGTCGACCACGTAAAGAAAGCATCGCTGCTACTACCTCTTAGACACTGTCCGTCGAGTACCGACTTAGTTAGGAAGCTGTTGTTAGCTCTGATTTTATATAACTTTTTCAATGTGCTGTTTCGAGTCTGCGTCAGTCTTCGGTCTTCTCTTTTCTCGCAATGCGACCGAGTACACATGAAAACGACAATGTTATTCTATCGAAATCTTGAAGTACATCTAACGGATATATCAAATCGTAAGATTTCGTAAACATCTCAATGTATTTCACATAACTGCCGTTAGCCCCGAGCAATAAAGGAAATGGGATAAGGTGAATAGAAGGTGATTTGGAAAATATGAGAATCGTTATAATGTATTCTTCGACGAGTTTGAAATTGACTGCTTCTCTTCAAAAACTTAGATTTAGGTACTAGCTATTTAATAGCTGTCTCTTATACACATCT